TGAGGTGGCATAGCTGCCCCATCGGGAGGAATTGATTGGCTCGAAGCGTATCTTGAGGTGGCATAGCTGCCCCATCGGGAGGAATTGATTGGCTCGAAGCGTATCTTGAGGTGGCATAGCTGCCCCATCGGGAGGAATTGATTGGCTCGAAGCGTATCTTGAGGTGGCATAGCTGCCCCATCGGGAGGAATTGATTGGCTCGAAGCGTATCTTGAGGTGGCATAGCTGCCCCATCGGGAGGAATTGATTGGCTCGAAGCGTATCTTGAGGTGGCATAGCTGCCCCATCGGGAGGAATTGATTGGCTCGAAGCGTATCTTGAGGTGGCATAGCTGCCCCATCGGGAGGAATTGATTGGCTCGAAGCGTATCTTGAGGTGGCATAGCTGCCCCACCGGGAGGAATTAATTGGCTCGATCCGTATCTTGAGGTGGCATAGGTGCCCCACCGGGAGGAATTGGTTGGCTCGATCCGTATCTTGGGATGGCATAGGTGCCCCACCCGGATACATGTCGATGCACGGAGCCTCCGTAGAGCTCTAGAAAGGTGCCTCTGACTTCAGTTTGGTGATTACCTAACTCAACAAGTTGTAGTAGATCGAAGTTGAGCTGTTCTGGATTTCTCTCTTCTAATCTCGATTTATTGCTCAGTGGATTTGTTTAACTAATGGTCCAACAATCTCAAGTATCGAATATGCAACTTCTCCGTGCCACTCCTCCTCGACTGAAGCTGGATTTTGTCATCGCCATGGTGTGCCTTTTTGGTGATTTCCTCGGGGACAATCTGTTGGCCCCAGGTTATGAACTCTTCATCAGAGAGAATGGTGTACCAGGTAAGTCTAGTAGGAATTCAACAACTGTCAATCTGTTGCGGCTTGTCAGGTATGGGCTTTGGCCTCGCCGTCTCGATCTTGAGCGTATCGTTCATAGTGGGAAGATGCTTCGCCTCAGTCATCATGGGGCCTATATCTGATCACACTGGTCGTTGGAATGCACTCCTTTTTTGCCAGCTGCTCACAGCTGTTGGCTTCCTCATGCAGGTGACCTCCTTCATAAGGAGTCTTCATTGACCCACATCATCGAGTTGACGACGGGCTATTGCTTGCTTCAGGCACTGTCTTGGAGTTTCTGGTCTCTCGTTGGCTTCCGCTTCTTCACCGGCTTCGTCGGCGGGACCAGAGCCGTTATAGTTTTGTAAGAGTTCGTGAGCAGTAGCGAATCACTCACTCCTCGCCTTGAGCATCCCAGAATCAGCAATTGTTTCTTCGATCTTCGCTCTACATCAGTACCTTTTATGTGTTTCGACTACTGTCTCCCACTCGTCACCCGAGTATTCCCCGAGGATTTCGTCACTCAAGGTACATAACGGATTGGATGTCTGACCGACATATGCTTATTTTCTGGATGTCCTTCGTCCCAATCGTCTCTAGTGTCTCCGCATTCGCTGGCCCAGTCCTTGGTGGAATAGTGGTTCAGGTGAGTATACTGCATGTGTGGCTCTCAGTGACCGTCAAAGGGTGTAGTTTCTGGGTATTGGGCAATGACTAAGTGTATTCTCAGGTTGACCAGTCAGCGCCGTTGAACCCGGCTTATGCTGGTCTTGCAATTGATTTCGCAAGCTTCGTTCTGGTGCTACTCTTCATGAGGAAATCCCCGAGAGACGTCAGACTACATCTTTGCATCACAACAAGTCAGACAGCTAACAAACCGTCATCCGAACCATTCAAAACCGTTGCACCTCTTGTTGAATGGTGAGGCAACTCAACTAGGATGTCCCCTTTATACTCAATGTTTCTCGACTGCAGAAGTCTCTACTTTCAGGAAAGCTATCGTTCTCTGGTTCTTGGTCTGTGCTGTGTCCATCGGAGGAACTCAACAGTGGTCTGTACTCCTCGTGACCATCCAGAAGGAACTCGGACTTTCCAGCCTTGTGCTAGGGTCCATCAGCGGATGGTGTGGTCTGATGATCATAAGTAGGACTACCAGTCTTTCGTCACTCGTTAAACGGTAATCTTTTCAGCGGGGCAGTTGCTGGTGTTGCCTTTCCTCTCCCATCGACTCAAGTTTTCCGAAGGCGCAGTTGTCGTCTTTGGTTTTGCATTAGCCCCTTCAATCATCATTCTCTGCTTCGTCACGAATCTATGGGCGACGATTGCAGTCGGCTCTCTGTTATCATTGGGCGTCCCTCTGGGCATCACGATGGGCTTATCGGTACGCAAATCCATAGCATTTTGAACTGATACTATCATATCTAGTCTATGTCTAATTTGCTTGGTGATACTGTTCCTGGAGTGGAATTTCGTGGGAGAGCATTCTAGACCTCCTAGACATCTTGTTCTCGTGCGAAAGAGAATATCCAGAGCACTTGGAGGCGCTTGGAAATCTCAAAGCTCATGTCCGTCTCGAAGTGTCTTCTCGTTTGATTCAGGCTTTCTCCAGGCTATGTGACCCGACGAAGAAGAACTCAGTCTTGGGCATGTTGGCATTGAGTATGAACTCTATGACAGTCTTACTGGTGTTCCTGTCCGGGATACTCTACGATATTGACAAGGCTGCACCCTATGTTATGGTGAGTCATCTAAAGCCAGTCCTTCTGTGAGGTCTCATCGAGTTGGCTTCGACCATTTGAATTGAAGTATCCTTACTATAATGGCTCCCCTCATGCAATGAGGTGTTGCAGCTGTGATATTCAGTTGTTCTGCGTGGTCGTTGCTGGAATACTTGTGGGCTTGGTTATCATGAGGATCATGCCGAGGGCGCTGAGGAGGAGGAGCCATGTGAAGGTCCTTCTGGCAGCGACCGAAGCGAGT